AAAGTTCGTAATGGATACTACAGCCTATGACAGAAAGTTGTCTATGCAGATCCAGGACTTCGTATAGGCCCCATATATCAGTACCTCCCTATATTTGGTATTTTCACGATTATAGGTACAATACCCACCGAAATTGTTTGAGATGTCGCATTTGAAGTTCGTAATGGATACTACAGCCCATACCAGAAAATTGTCTCTGCAGGTCCACGTTTTATAACCCCCATGGTACCTCCCTATATTCGGCATTTTGATGATTTTAGCTACATTAGAAACAGATTTTTTTCAAGTTTAGCATTTGAATATGGCTTATGACAACAATGCCTATGTAGGTCCACGTCGTATAGACCCCAATATAACGGCTATATTCGGTATTTTTAAGATTTTAACAGAATTTTTAACGGATTTTCTTTTTTTTGAAATTCGTTCAAATGGTGGAGGGTATTCAAAGTTCGGCCCGGTCGAACTTACTACTTTTTAACTTGTTTTTTTTTTGCCAAATCATTTTAATCTTTTAAACATTTCTGTTCAACATTTGCTACTCTGGCGACTTCACGGCTACAACAGCCGTGGCTTGTATGTTTCAACATGGCATGACTTGTTGACTTTATCGTCAAATTATCGTTGATGTATCATCATCCTCATCGGCGGCGGCAACGGCATTGCTCGGACCATGAGAAATATTTTTCGCTTCTGTAGCTGTTCACACAATAAGAGAATTGATTTAATTTTCATAACCGGACTGACCTGGGGCTAGATAGGCATTCATCGATTGTTACTATTTTCTATTGTAAGGAAGAGAATGATTATAAATCAGAGGCCAGGGGTTTGATTTACGATATTGTTTGAAAAAAAAAAATAATGATGATTGAGTGGGAATATTAAACGACGTTGTAAAAAAAAGCGTTGAAAGCAAAAGTGGTTGTAGGCCTAGCATAGATATGACTTTTGTTCTTGTAAAAACAAACAATTATTGTTGTAATCAAGATTAAAATTTTGAAATTTGGAATGAGAGTCACAGATGCAGTGCACGATAGATGTAAGAAATTATTTTTGGAAATTCTAACTTTTAGTTTACGAAAAGTTCTAAAAATGGACTGAATTTCTAAAATGGTATTAATTGGTACTATGTGAAAGGATAGACCTGAATACTTGAAATTTGGTATGAGGATCAAGGATGGAAAGAAAGTTTGATAGGTCGGAAAAGTAGTTTGCCAAATGTGTACTAAATGTGCGAACTGTACTAAATAGTACTTAAATTTGCAACAGTTTGGTTGCAGGTCAACGGATAAGGCTGGAAATTTTAAATTTTGTATTGGGGTCCCTGTTGGTGGTCGGTTTATGATAAAGAAGTAATTTTGACAAATGGGAACGAAAAGTACCAAATGGCACTATATTTGGTACAAACTGGTATTGGACGAACAGATAGTGTTTGAATTCTGAAATTTGGTATGGAATATGAAATATGGAAGTGCTTTCGAAAATGTGTACTATAATTGTTCGTAAAGTACTAAGTTGTGTATTAGAGATTAATTTAGAAAAGTTCGGTGCTAGGGTGAATGAATGAGCCCGAAATTATGAGATTTTGTATTGGGATCTTTGTTTGTGATAAAGGGGTGGTTTGGATAAATGGGTACGAAAAGTACTAAATTTGGTACAATATGGTTTTGGAAGAAATATGTTACAGGGTGAGATGAAAAACCTACAACCAACTTCAGACTGCTGTCATCTCTAAGCCACTCGTCCGACAGCTCTAAAATTATTCCAGTGACCGCTCATTATATTGTTTTCAAGCGTACAAAACCATTTTGGTAAGAATCTTCCAGAAAAAAGTTATTCGTGATGGAATTCAAGCGTGATAGTGTGATTTCTTTATATTTGGCTGGAAAACCACAAATGGCAATGGTTAGAGCACTCCAGCATTTAAATGTTAATAAATCTTTTGTGTTTCATACCATCGCTCGTTACCGTGATACTGGTAGCGTCAAGGAAGTGGACGAAAAAAAGTAACATCAGCAGAAATGGTTCGAAAAGTAAAGAAGCGACTTGACCAAAACCCGCGTCGCAGAGCTGACAATATCGCAATATTTCATTCGGCAAATATTCAAAAATAAGCTGAGGGGTAAAGCCATTGAAATTCGAAAAAGTGCAAGAACTTACACCGCAAGAGAAAGAAAATAGACTTAAAAGAGCTAAAGTGTTGCTTCGTTTGGCCCAAAGTGGTGAACTGCCGAATTTGATTTTCTTCGATGAGAAAACAAAAATTTGTAAAGAACCAAAATGATTGTGTTTATTTGCCAAAGAGGTCAGCTGAAAATGTGCACCTTCGGTTGGCCACCAGAACTCAAGCGCCGGCCATGGTGATGGTGTGGACCGCCATAACATCAGATGGTCGCTCTCCGCTCGTATTAATCGACCGTGACATCAGAATAAATGCCGGATTTATCGAGACAATATTCTGGAGGGTGTATTAAAGCCTTGGGGACGCAAACATTTTGACCGCAGACCGTGGACATTCCAGTAGGACAAAATTAGGATCCTCGCTTCGTTTCCAGCGCTCAATGGCCACCAAAATCTCCGGATACCAATCCGTTGGACTATTGTGTCTGGATTATTTTTGAAAACAAGGTTGGAACTAAAAAAGCAACATTCGGGCAGCGTGTGACAATTTCATTGGCCGTTTAAAGGCCCTAATTCGTGGCAAAGGTGACCAATTCAAACAAATCTAAACTTATTCTAAAATTTGATGGTATTTCCGAATTTTTTTGCTTTCTTTCAATAAAATTTAAAAAAAATGTAAAAATATGGTGTTTGACTTTGTTGCAGTTTTTTATCTCACCCTGTATGTCCTATATTTGTACGAAAAGTACAAAATGCTACCAAATATGGCATAGGAGTGAAGGGATAGAACTGGAATTTAAATTTAACATTAATATCTCTGTTGGAATCTGGAATTGAGATATGGAGGTGGGTTTGGAAATGAGTACTAAAGGTGCACGAAAAGTACTAAATAGTTCTATATTTGTAACAATTTGGTATTTGGTGAGCAGATACTGCTTCACATCCGAAATTCGGTATAAGGATCGCTGTTCATGTATAGCCTACACATATGGAGGTGGTTTCGGAAATGTGTCTCATAATTGTACGGAAAGTACTAAATGGTACCACATTTGGTATTGGGTGAAAGAATGGAGATAAAATTCTGAAATTTGATATTAAAATTACTGATGGTTGAGATCGGAAGTTTGGTATTGGGGTTGATGTGTGGCCTGTACATATGGATATGGTTTCTGAAATGTGTAGTATTTTTGTACGAAAAGTACTAAGTGGTACTAAATTGGGCATTGGGGTGAAGGGAAAGAGCTGGACTCCTCCAATTTGATATTGAGGTATTTGAGGTTGGGAAAAAGAACTGGTTTTGGCCAGGCGTACTAAATTTGGTACTAAATTTGTCAATGAGGGAAATTAAACAGCTGAAATCCTAAAATTTAACATTGAGATCTATCTTGGTACCTGGAATTGAGATATGGAGGTAGTTTTCGGAAATGTGTAATATAATTGTACGAAGAGAGATTGAAATAAAATTCTGAAATATTATATTTAGTTTACTGATAACATCTGTGTTTAAGATTTGTCCGTACTTCGTACGAAAAGTACTAATGGTGAAGGGATAGAGCTGGAATTTCGAAATTTGCTATTGGGGTCTCTGTTGGCATAAGGGGGTTGAAGGAAGCTAGTTTTGAAAGAGCTAGTTTTGGATATGCACAATATAATTGTACTAAAGGGCGTTACATTTGGTCTGTCGGTATGCAGAATGGAGAAAGTTTGAATAGAAATCTCCTTATGAAAACCCTTATTCAGCCAGGGTGAATAGAATATTTCTTATGATAATCCCTATTCAGCCTATGATAATCCCAATTCATCTCCCTAGAAAAGCTACCGACTAGTTTCTTAAATCCTCATTATTTTTCTCGAGTGTATTTCACATTTCTCTGGCATCTAAATAAAAAAAAAAATAAACTGGCCACAACTTGTTTTTATCGCATAAATAAATCAGTATTGGGAAGCAGCTCTCATTCCATGATGGGCAGCTAGAAAAAAGGTTCTCATCGGCCATGGGCAGATGTAAACTCTCCACAAAGATGCGTTTCTTTGCTAAGAAATGTAAAAAACAAAAAAAGAAAGAAATGGAAGAAACCAAAAACTTGTAGCTAGAGTGGCGTTCGCGACGCCGATCAAGTGTTATTTTCACTTGAAACGATGAGCGATACTGGTTTCCGATCGCAATGAAGATGTGCTGTGGCATGGCCAGAGATGCTGCCATCTACTGCTGGGCCAAGTTAAGGCTAATAATGATGTTGCGGCCGATGTTGGCTAAATGTTATGCATCGATGCAACAATTTCTCAGGAGTTTCATAATACAACAATGTGAAGATCGGTTAATAATTTTTGTATTGCTGTTGTTGTAAAAAGTCGAAGTAACGGAATAATTTCACTTTTTTCCATTTTGCAGAAACATGATTGTCGTTGACCGGCTGTTATTAACTTTCTTCGCTGTTTTGTTTTTTTTTTAATATGCCCTAAATTTATTAATTAATTGTATTTGTTAAACAAAGGCAGTAACAACAACAACTGCTACTTGAGAGCCATTGGCCAAGAATGTAATGTCATTTAATGAGACAATTTTAGTAAATTTTCCTCCAAAATAATTTGAACAACTTCCCATTTCGTATTTAATTGTAATTGCTGCTGGCCAAGCAGGAAACCAGCTGGGGAATTATACCAATGCTCGGATGATACGATCAGCGAAGAGGTCATAAAAAATAATCATAAATTGTACAAATTTCTATCTTAAGTATTATTGCGTGACTAGTCACAAAACAGGGTTTGACCGATCTTCAAAATTTCGGCTGTGAAAGTTTTGAATGCGAACTAAAAAGCATTTGCCATTCCGATGTGACAACATATCAGGTAGTGAGAAAAAAAGGGGTCATTACACTTACCGTATTACATTAAGGGCCTCTGAAAAAAAAATTAAAAAATGTTAATTAATATTTTTAAGAAAAATATAAAAAAAAAATATTTTGAATGGGATCTACAATTTATAAAAATTGGATTTTTTACAACAACATTTTTTGGATTTTTTTTGGAAAATTGTTTACAAGGTGCGTCATCGAGGAGTTATCAAAGATTTTTTTAAAGAGCCATTGAACGTATTTTTTTTTTTTTTTTTTTTTTTGAAAAGGTCCATCAAGCGTAAATTAGAACTAGCAAATGTCAGCAACTTTGTCAGCAGAATTAGAAAATTTTAGATTCATTTCAGAACTTTATGTTAGCCCTTATAGTACATAAAATGTACAAATTTTTCAGTTTGAGATTTTTTTAAATTTCAAGGTTTAATATATAATTCAAGCTTTTCCTTTACCAAAAAGGATAATAGGATAATCATTACTTTTTGCACCAAAAAGTCTTCAAAATCGTTCGAAATCTTAGCGAGGAGCATATTTGTTCAGCCTTTGAACAATGGTTCCATATCGAATTTTTCTGGCCAAAATCTATTTAAACGTCGTCATATCTAAATCCTAGAAACCAAAAGTGATCTCAATATTAAATTTCAGGATTTAAACTTTACTCATTCACTCAACAGCAAATTTGGTACTATTAAGTATTTTTCGAACAATCATGGTACACATACCCAAACCCACCGCCTTCTCTCAGCCACAGACACCAACAATGAAATAAATATCGAATTTCGGGATTTCAGATCCAATTTTTCACCCAATAGCAAATTGAGTACCATTTAGTACTTTTTGTACAATTTCAGATAGCAACAGAGGCCTACATATCCAATTTCACCTTCACCTAATACCAAAAAATTGATGATTCCAGCCTTATCGCTTCACCCAATACCCAATTTAGTACCATTTAGTACTTTTCGTACAAATATAGTACACATTTCCAAAACCATCTTCATATCTTAACCACAGGCACCTACAATGACACCTATTTAAAATCTCAGGATTTCAGCAAACATTTAGTACCGTTTAGTACAATTAAAGTACGCATATCCAAAACCACCTCCTTTCCTCAACCACAGATACTGACAGAGACCTCAATATCAAATTTAGTTATTCCAGCTCTATTCCTTTACTCAATACCAAATTTAGTAATGCTTAGTATTTTTCGTACGATTATAGTCCACATTTCCAAACCACCTCCATATCTCAAATCCAGATACCAACAGAGACTTGACCTCAACATCAAATTTGAGAATCACAGCTCTATTCCTTCACTCAATATCAAATTTAGTACCATTTAGTACTCTTTTTGCAAATATAGGGCATATTTCCAAACACCCTCAATATCTCAAACATCTATACCATCAGCAATCTAAATATCAAATTTCAGGATTTCAGATCCATTCCTTCACTACTATTACGTACTTTTCGTGCAATAATAGTACATATAGTACATTTCCAAAACCACTCCCATATGACCAGGCTACACACGAGCAGCGACCCTGATACCAAATTTCAGATTTCAACCACTACTTGTTCAACCAATACCAAATTGTACCAAATATAGTACTATTTAGTACTTTTCCTGCACTTGTAGAACACATTTTTAAAACCACTTCAATATCTGAATTGCAGATACCAACAAACCTACAACATCAAATTTAAGAATTTCAGCGCTATCCCTTTACACCTTACCAAATTTAGTACCATTTAGTACTTTTCGTACAAATATAGGACACGTTTCACAATCACCGCCAAATCTCAAATACCGATGCCATCAGTAATCTAAATACCAAATTCAGAATTTTATCCCCATCCCTTTAACCAGTTACAAATTTAGTACCGTTTAGTACTATCCTACAATTATATTACAAATTTCCAAAACCCCCTACAAAAGTTAAGGCTACACATGAACAGCGGCTCTAATACCAAATTTTAGATTTCAACCCTTATCTGTATACTCAATACCAAATTGTAACAAATACAGCTTCATCTGTTCATCCTAAACCAAACTGTTCCAGATTTAGTACCAAATTAGTACAGTTAGCACACTTAATACAAATTTCCAAACCAATCTCCATATCTCAATTCCAGATAATAAAAATGATATCCAAATCGAATTTCAGCTCTGTTCCTTCACCCAATACCAACCAACCCAATACGTACCATCGGTACCATTCAGTACATTTCGTACAATTATAGTACAAATTTCCAAAAACATTTCCATATCTGAATTCCGAATACTAACAGACACATCAATTTCAAATTTCAGGATATCAGCTCTTTGCCTTCATCCAATACCGAAATGTACCAAATATGGTACTATTTAGTACTTCCGTGCTGAAGGACATATTTCCAAAAGAAAACTTTATCACAAATCTATCACCACCAGGGACCCCAAAAACAACATTTCAAAATTCCTGCTTCATCCATTCAACCTAAACCAAACGGATCCAAATGTAGTACCATTAAGTAGAGTTTGCACATTTGGTACACATTTCCGAAACCACCTCCATATGTCCAAGCTACACATGGACAGCGACCTTAATACCAAACTTTCGATTTCAAGCTGTATCTGCTCACCAAATGCCAAATAGTTCAAAATATGGTACTATTTAGCACTTTTCGTGCACTTGTAGTACACATCCCCAAACCCATCTCATTATCTCAAACCTACCACCAACAGAGCACCCCAGTACAGAATTGCAAAATTCCAGGTTTACGCCAAACCAAAATGTTACAAATTTAGTACCATTTAGTACATCTGGCACACTTAATGCACTTTAACAAAATCTCCTTCATATATCAAACTTACTTTCCAATCTTGATTCAAATTGTAGAAGTTTAGTACCATATTGAAACTTTTCGTAACCTTGAAGTTTAAATTTTCAAAAACGGCTTCGCCGCTTCGTCTGGGCGTTTATTTATTCTAGGTCAGTCGATTATTTCACTGCTTTTTTATAATATATAAGTTAAATTATCGACATTGATTTTCATGATTTCTTACAAAGCTATTAACGTGCATTTTTAAAAACTGATTGAAAGTAATTATTTTAATTTTTTTCTAATATTTTTCGGAGTTACCAACGGGGGGTTGTTTTTAAGTTATCATAACCGTTGAAGAATTTTTGTCAAAGCTATTAGCCTGTATTTTTCAAGAATTTGTTAAAGCTCTTTTGAATGATTTTGTCCGATGCTATCAACCTGAATTTTTATTTTCAAAATATATTTTTAATGTTTTTTTTTTTTTTTTTAATTTCAAAGTGGAAATTTATTTTTTCTTTTTTCCAAATCTTTATTTTCCAAGTTTTGACATTGGATTTTTTAACGTTGATTTCAAACGAATTTTTAAGTTTTAAGTCTTTAAACGGGGACTTTGAAATTTATAATCCCGAACAATTACTGAGATATAAGACACCTCTCTGTTTTTTTCGTATCTTAGAACATTCTCCTCTATGAAATAGTTCAGGCTTTAATGTATCTCTATTTTTTCACCCATAACATTTTTCATTGCTAATATGTTTTTTTTAGATATTTTTTTTTGTCAGTCAATGTCGTTTTTATTTCCACCTATGAACATGCATCCACACATCGCTCACACTCGTGTGTAAGTAATGACGTCGTCCCATGATGTGTTTGGTGTTCAAACGCCAAAACACTTTACAACAACAAAAAATATATTTTATGACTTAAAGTTCATTTCAATCGATTGTTAGATTGTTTATTTGTAGTGTTGTTTTTATTATTGTTATTGTTGTTTTGTTATGGTAGCAGGTCGGTCGTTTGTTGGTCTGTCTGTCTGTCGGTCGGTCTCTGCCACAAAATGCTGTTGCATGTCTTTATGTTATTGAACTTTACTTTGGTGATACTACTCCGGATTATTCGGAAATCGAGCAGCAGAGACGGCGACGTTGGAAGGTATGACTGGCTGGCTGATGAATGCTACCAGTTGGCCCGGTAAACAGTCAGCCAACCAACCAAGAGCCAGCCTGCCTGCCAATTGGTTGGCAATACTCGTATGTTGGATGCCCATGATGTCAGCCACATTAAAATTTAGACTTCCATTTAGATTCCCACCAACACTTTGGCGTGTGGGGCCAGATAAATGGGTTTTGTTCTCATGCAACACTCATGCCGCCGCCGTATTCAGCATCGGGTTTGTGCTGAATTATTATAATTCACATTGAAATGCTGAATACATCGGAGCATACGGACATACATAGATTATTTTGCGATGCCTTTATGACTGAAATGTGTTGATGATCATCATCTACCCGGTGGGGGAAAAGGAGGTGTTTTTTTGCTTAGATTCACAAAACAATTGTTTGCCATAACAACAACAGCAATTGTTATTTGAAACGAAAACAATATTTATTGGCTCGAAACAGTGTTTGATTCTATTGTGGAAGAAACATTTAAATAACCGGTGTATGGTGCAGTAAAAATGTAAGGCAGCAACTAATTTTTAAAATTTCAAAGAATGAAAAAATAATTTTAAAAAATTTTGCAAAAAAGAAAATCCAAGTTAAATGGCAAATGGAAAACATTTTCCATAAAATCCCACGTTTATTAGTCCTTTATTTATGGGTAAAAAATTACATGAAGGGTCAGACTTGCTTCGTAGACGTGTGGGTTTTGAAATTTGGAATAAAAGGGTACGAAAAGTACTAAAATATAATACTTTGTATAGGACAAACGGAATGAGCTAAAATTCTAAATTTTGGAATGAGAGTCACTGATGGAGTGTAGAATAGATGTAACAAAGGGTTTTTGGAAATTCGAACTTTAAGGTTACGAAAAGTTCTAGAAGGGCACTTAACTTCTTAAATGTTTCTATTTAGTATTATGTGAACGGAAATTTGGTATGAGAATCAAGGTTGCAAAGTAAATTTTGGTATATGAAGGCGGTTTTGGAAATGTGTACTAAGAGTGCGAACTGTACTAAATGGTACGAAATTTGGAACAGTTTGCTTTAGAGTGAACGGATGAAACTAGGCATTGGAA